CAAAGCACTCAGACACTAAGACCTATAGAACCAGAATCTGCATCTTAACAAAAACCTGCAGGAGGTTTTGAGCACCTTTGATGAGGTTTTAATCCACTGTACTGCTTTTCTGAGAATAAATTCCCTAAGAAGGAATATAGGCATTACATGTAATTAGGATGAAAAGTATCGTAGAAGAGGACAATGGTAGAGGCATAAGGACCAATCAAAAGGCTACTGTTAGCCAAGTGGAAGAAGAAAACTTGGAAATATTTGACTAGATGATATGAAAGATCGAAGAAGTCATTTCCCCAGTTTTTGACCTGAGCAATATCAGAAAATAAAATAATTACACTTATAAGAGTGTAACAACTACTCAGGCTAAGAAAACTGTGTGACAGTCACAAAGAGCTGCTTAGTCTGGCCAGATAATGGGGGAATTACATAAATTGTGCCTGTATTTTTGAAGGGGTCCCAAGACAAAGTCAGCGTCAGAATTTTTAAATGGCTTGCCCTCGATGTTGCTCCCCATCAGCCCATTAACTTGTGCCGGCACCCCGGTCCCTAAGAAGAAAGTCCACTTAGCCTCTCAGATTCTTAAGGAGTCTGGATTCCAAAGGTGTAAAGATAAATGCTGAAGCTTATAATTTTCAGAAGATTTCAGTTGTTTTTGGTGGGTAAGAGCTCTTCCCCCCGCTTCCATTCAAATCTCTTTCTAAAACACTACAGGGTAACTGAGAGAGAAAGAAAGCAAAACAAACAACAACAACAACAACAAAAAACCAAAAAGCAAAACAAAACAAACAAACAAAAAAACCCCCAAAAACCAAAGAAACCAAAAAACCCACCCCCCAAAAAACATTATAATAGTGTGTGAATGCAAGCTCATTTAACTTGTATTAGAGTAAGACCTTCTTTTATGAGTCCAAGTACTTGTTTTTTTATTTCTAAAGAAGTCATGTTCCTTACACTGAAAAGCATTTTGAAAAAAATCAAAGCATCTCTACAATATTTTAGACAAATACATATATTGAATATTATAAGTAAAATGTTTCTAGGCTTCCCTAAGAAATCCAAATTAATCCAGCTTGTCTTATATTGTTGACAAGTATAATAAATATAAGAGTTATACCTATCACCAATGCTACAGTAAAACATAAATCTGCTACTCTTATTTAGATAGAACAACTTGGAACTGGCAACTACCAGTAATATAGGAATACGCAGAACTAGTGTACTTACAGCATCGAAGTTTACCTTTCTCTACCATGCAATTCAGGCCATGATTCACTGCATACATCATAACACATATGGTAGAAGTATTTTCTATGATACAGGATTGTAATGTTGGTCTCAAAATATAATTTATATACTTCTTTGAGGATATGAAAGGCTGCCCAAAATGACTCAAATTTTTCTCATACTTCAAGTCTAAGAATTTCACATTTTATTAATGATTCTTTTTAATCCCCACATTTCTGATGGAAAAAGACCACAGAGGAGTTGCATTTAGTTTTCAAGTGAATGAGAAAGCATAGGACTAAAAGAGCAAGAAAGCGTTAGTGCTTATGGGATTGCTGATTTTCCCCTCAGTAATGCTCTTAGCTCCAACAAGCAGCACTTTTGATAGATGGAGTGGATCAGAAATGTGAGTGTATGGGACACACCAATATTTTAATTCAATCTTATCAAATCTCAGACTATGAATTATTGTATGCATGCCTGCTTCTGGAAAGTAAAGAGAATTTTCTTGAAAAAAAATGCAAGAATCTCATTAACTTTTCTTAAAATCAGTGACTTCAAAATGTTTTGGAAATACAAATTCAGCTATCAAGTATCTTCAAAGATGTTATTCATTCAAATAAATTGAGCCAAATAAAACCAGGATCCCTTTAGTCCCCCCTTTTACAACAACAGAGCTATCTATGGCCACATAATAAAACCATTACAATAACTCAATAGGCAATCCAGAATTATCTGACTACATCCTACCTCCTTAAACATCTCATCACCCAAAAGAGAGATTTGGAGAGCTCGGAAGGTAGAATGCTGTAAGTTTTCTCAAATGGCTAAAGCCACTTCAAGGCATACACTTATTGGCATCAAAAGTACTCAAGGAGTCACTGGAAAGTTTATAAAAATATTTCGTCCTTTAAAAATTTAACAAGTCAAAAATACCACATTAACTAAACACAAAAGAAATATTTTGGAAGGAAAAACTTACTTTTGTTAAAGCTGATTCTTCCTATGACTTAAAACAGTGGGAAAGAATATAGGATGATTTTGTCCCACTGACACAAGACTATGTCAACTCCGAAAGGAACAGAGCTGTGAATCCCTCCCAATTGCAGCCTTTTCAACTTTGTAGGAAAAAATAGAATCTCTGCGTTTCTTCCCAGCCCTGCGACGCGCACGTAGCTGACTCCTACTGGGCTGAAGAAGTACTCCTTGTCAATTTCTACTTGAAATTATAAGTAAGTCTCTGCAGAACATCCTTAAAGGGAAATTCTGCCAGTTTTAGTAATGTTTGAAGTTGTCACATAAGGTCCAAAAAGTTTAAAATACACAACATTCATACAGACACATACACACTCAAGAAATTTCCACTGATGAGGCCAAATTAGAGGCATGTGTACAAAGCAAATTCTCTAAAATAATGATTTTTCCCCCCTAAATTAATCTGATTTTGGTTTTGTTTCATGGTGGGTGTCAGAAGCCTCCTTCTAGGTTAGAGATGGATGAACTGCAGATCTTTTTTGCGGAGCTATCTGAAGAGTTGAGGGCCCACGTTCTCACCTGTGGATCTCTTTGCAGCTTGAGAGATGAGCATGAGTTGTGGCCTCTACCCCTTCCTTGGGAAATCCTTGGATTAGAATAGACTAACGGGGTAGTCACCTGCCTTCTGCACCTGTGATGTGGACTTAACATTTTCTGCTTCTGCCTATTTCCCTGTGAGCTGGTAACAATTGTTATGTCACATCCATGCTGTGTGACTTCATTTAATGATGTGCATTTGGGATCTTCAATTCAAAACATGTAAGTGGTCACAGGTGTTAACAGTTGGATTTGAAGAAATATTTGCATATTATGAGGTATCCACCATAGAAATTCTTAGGGTGTCATTACAATCTACACAGTGAGTGATTTATATTCCTAAAATCTCCATTTAAGGTTATTTCCTAGGTTGTATGAGGAAAGAAATTTTCTGTCTTGGCTCTATCCATTTCCAGACCAAACTGTCCTTGTGCTGCATGAAAAAGACATATGGTAATATTTGTTGAGGTCAAATTCTGCCAAATACAATCAAATGTGAGCTAGGAAAATGCAGGGCCCATTAACTATGTCTACTTGCCTGATTCTGTGATTAAGACATTGTAAAATGAAAACATGATGATTAACAAAACAAATTGTGATTTATTGATAGGACAAAGATATATTTCATTAATTACAGATTTTAATCATCATGTTACCACTACTAAACAGACTTTACTTTCCTCCTTTTATAGGGAAAGTGAGTCTTGCAGATTTAAGTGTGTCGGTATCCCTAGACATGGGGTCACTTCCCTGCGGGTTTATGCTGTGTGTGTGTGTGTGTGTGTGTGTTTGTGTGTGTGTAAAATTATTTTCATTTTTTCCTTTTCAGGTTTTTTTTTTTTTTTTCCTGGTACCAGGGATCCAACTCGGGACCTTGCTCTTGCTTAGCTTGCTCTGCGGGTGTGCTGAGCCTGCCGCAGTCTGGGCACGATGGCGCACACTTGTAATTCGCGCACTGGGGAAGCTGAAAACAGGAGGATCACTACGAGTTTGAGCTGCATAATGAGATCCTGTACCAAATACATTAAAAAAAGAAGACTAGCAGAAATCAGCAATACAATTATCTAAACTATCCTGCGTGTATACATAAATATACTTTCTCCCTTCTTTCTTTTGTTCTTTTCCTCTTCCTCATCACAGTTTTTGTTTCCCATAGAACAAATTCTTATTTCTTATCTTTCAGATTTTATTTACTCTTTCAAGTTCTCACACTAGCAAGACAATTAAATCTTGGAAACAATCCAAATGCTTATCAACTGAGGAATGGATAAAAAAAGATAAAGTATTTTTACACAATGGTGTATTACTCTGCTATAAAGGAAAATACAAATTTGAGGCTTTTTTTTTTTACATAAATGGATGCAGCTAGAGACTATATTTGTAAGAGAAAGAAATCATATGCACATGTACAGTGTGCTTTGTTGAGGTCATTTAAATAGATTCAACTTTTGAACCTCCTTCGCCCTCTTCAGCTTTAATGTGCTTTGTCTTTCATTTGTACTGCTTCATCACAACATCGTCATTAAGATCACAGATTTTTATGAAGTACCTAAAGGCCTTTGTACATCTTAAAGGAACTTTCTTATCTCTGGCCATGTCAATTTCTTCTTGAAATTCTCTTCCCTTAGTCCCCCTCAAATTATGCAGCTTTTCTCCTGGTTTCTAATAGCCTCAGACACCTCTCCTTTCACTATTTCCTTCTTCTCTACCATCCTCTCTTTAGTATGTTTCATTTTATCAAAGCCTTCAGGGTAGAAGCAGACATCTGCTGCAATTCCAAATCTATACTCTCCATGTATTGTTTCCCAAGGTTTCATACTTACGTCCTGTTGTCTACTGGAATCTTTGTCTAGAAGTCTTCAGGCATTTCAAAATCATCAATTCCAAATAAACCTTTTCATTTTTCTCCCTTGTCCTAGCCTGTTATTTTAATGCTTTTCTTCTCTTGGGGTATGGCAAATCATCTTAGACTCTTCTCTCTCATGTCCTAGTACCATCATCACTGCTTAACTTCTGCGACTCTACGTTATTAAATAATCTTTCTCAAATTTTTCAGTGTCCCTCTAATTCCAGTCTTGTCTTATATAGATTACATCAATCATAAAAGGTTTGCTTTTCCTCAGTTTAGACCCCTTGTCTTTTCTCTGTATTAAATAGAAATATTAATGTTAAAATACTAGCTTATTCAATTATAAAAATGCTTCTTAAAGAAAATTTGGAACAACTTAAACTATATAAAGAAAATTTCAAATTACTCAAACTCTATCAGACAGCCTTAGCTCCAATCTTTGCAAATCTCATTAGAATTTTATAAACAATGACCATGAGGAAAAGTTTGTGTAAATGTTCGTATGTGTATACATACCACCTCCGAATAGGTACAGATATAGTTTCACTTGTACAACATACTTTTTTAGCAAACCAAGAGCATTTTGGCCAGCTTTAGGATATGAACAATTTCTTTCCCATTGCTAGGTCATGCCCAAGGCACATCGGCAAGCAAAAAGCATCCAAATGTATATACATTTTTGTATGACATGGGAGCCCCAGAAATGAAGACTCAGAGAAGCTGTTGTTAAGGAAGCTTGTGCATTTTATACTTAGGTTGAAGAAAAAGACTGGATAGTTATGAACAAAGGAGTATACTGGGGGAAATACAGCAAAAAAATTCCTTTTTGTCCAGGTTGTTTTTTATATCACTGTCCTCAGCGATGTTTTTTTTTTTTTTTTTTTTTTATGTAGAGTAAGGATCTCTCAAAGGGGAGACATGTAGGAGGTAAGACACTGACCTTCCCGTTTGTGACCTGCTCCAGGGAGAAGGGAGAAGGGAAAGTGAGAGGGAGATTCCTGCTTCTGCAGTTTTCTCAAATGCAACAGTATTCTGGTGTGGTCTGTCCTGAACCATGGCACTTCAGTTTTTCTTTTGTCTTTTAATATACAGTGATTTTTCCAAATCCATAAAATATTTTTAAAATGGCTCTGAATAATGGTTGCAACACAGTTAAACATACTGTTTTCTCCAATTGTTTTAATGTCAAAAAGCCACATTGATCATTTATATAAAATAACAATCACAAAGACTTAGGAAAAAGGGAGGAAAAAATCTAGAATGTTCACTATAAGCTTATTTACATTTAGTAGATATGATTTAAGCAACTGTATTTTATATGGAAACCTCATTTTATGCCTTCTAGTACTTACCCAGTATTGAGGCTATATTACAGAATTCAAGAGGAGCTACACACTTAGTACCCCTTACCAGCTGTTACCAAACAATCTGACAAACACACTTCACAATGAAAAGAAAAAAACAGAAGTTTGGGACAGTTTTTGGTGTTTCTTTGGTGGCCACACAACTATTTCAGAGAAAAGACGGCTCCCTTTTGGTGTACATGTCCGTTTCTCCACTACAGGAGTACATATTAAAATCTACATTGCAGACTACAGACAATGCAGACATTGACTTTCATTACTTTTATAGGATTTTAGTACATTAACAAACTGCCTTCCAGAATGGAAGTCATCTTTATTAAAGGGAAATAAATTCATCTTATTTCTCTGGTTAGTTGAATTTTTTAAAGGTTCTGTATGTTTTTAGGATAAGGCATTTCAGGATATCCTCCTGCTGGGCTCTCCACTTCTCCATTTTATTGCTTCTACAGGTTACTTTTCTTATTTCTCATATGTGTGGCTTCCCAAATGTCACTGTCATGGTACTTCGTGCCGTAGTACTTCTGCACCTCCTTTTCTCTGCCCAGACACTCCTTCCTTTTTCTTCCTTGTTTGAAGCTAATCCCACCTTTTCTTTCAGGATGTAGGTCATGGCCAGCCTTTCTGCTGAGTCTCAATTCTATTTCTGCTCCCCTAGCGCCTTCTGTTCACATCTGTCAAAATACTAAACTTTAATTGTTGATTGTAGACACCCGCTTGAAAATACAGACTATATTTTAAATTTTTATTTGTACTCCTAGTACTCAGCTGAAATAAAGACCCAGGAAATTGCTGAGCCAAGGCTTTAAATCCACTAAGTCCTCTCTTCCATTCTCTGTCATCAACATAACCCCTGCTTCCTGCTCTTCATAACAAACAGCAAGGTTCTCTATGCTTAAAAGATACAGCAATGCAGTTAGGGGCAAATGTGGACAATAGGAATGTACAGAAATTTAATACATTTTTGATTTTTGTGAGGTGAGTGGGATGCAAACACTTTTTTCTGAAAGCCTGCAGGCCAGGGTTACATTTTTGATATAGTGTCTTCTAGTCATTCTTCATTTGGTTAGTGCAGGCTTCAAGGTCCAACTTAGCACGGTGCTGGTTCAGTTGTGTGGCACCCTGCGTTGGCACCCAGCACAGTAAAAACAACTTCCAGATTTTTGAGTTAAATGTATATCTGAGTGTTAGGTGTTTTTTTCTTGTCTCCCATATAAACTGGGATAAAGCTTCATTGGTTATAGCAAAAGAAAGATCTTTCCATCCTCCCAACTTCACCAAACTAATATTATGTTACTAGGAGAAAACAATCACATCTGCACAAGGTTGAGGGGCATTTCTGAAAAAGTAATGAACTATTCTTCTTGACGGTCTATGGACTACAGCATCCCCTGCACCACTGCAGCTCTGTGACCGCTGCCTTGGCCAAGAGAATTCAAGATGGTTCTGTACTCAAGTTAAGCAACTACTATCTTATTGATTTAATATGGCAGAGAAAGTACTAATATGGCATAGAAAATTCTAATAATTAGGGCCCTTTATCAAAATGCACTGATCTTTGATTATGCAGTCTACCACTGACTGGATCATGCAGATGGCCAGAAGTGGGTTTTCTTTAAAACCAGATGGCTGTTGATGCAACGCTCCTGAGCATGAAGAGCGGGGCCTATTCTCCAGTATCTACCGTAACCGCAGTAACGGAAGTTAGCAGATAGGAGAAGATAGCTACCCATCTGCTCATATCCAGCTGAGAAACCATTTCCTATGATGAAATAGCTCATGAATGCGAAATTTCTAAACAATGAAAGACACTGAGAACTATGAAGTCATTTATGTGTAAGAAAAGAAAAACAAATTTAATATACTCTAAGAATAAAGATTGA